AGTGTATCAAAAATACCTAAACCCTGAAACACAAACTGCGAAAGCGATGTGTACAGAACAAATTGAGAGCACAGATACTTCTACTTTTTGCCTCAAGACACATACTACAAATGCAGTACAGATAAACTTTCTATTTTAAAACTTAGTATGTTCTTTTTGCTCCAAACAGAAACAATCCTTATCTTTCCTTACTCAGTAATTAACCCAGTCTTAACTTTGCAGGAGTTCTACTGTAAATGAACAATAAGAATGTCTTGTTTTTAGTGTTAAATGGCACTGGGAGAGAAAGAACAGCAAACATCTCCCAGCTAGTGCAGACATTCTGATTTCCAGATTACAGTACATTGCTTTGCTTCCTCCAAATCCTGTTTACATGAGCAAGGTCAGGGGATGAAACATTAGAGAGCCTCTACAGTGATTTCCTGCTTCTGTCAGTAAAAACTACAGAGACACCATCAACTTTCCCTTGTTTCCAACAGCTTATCAGGGACCAGAGGTTACCAGTGTAGTGCCTTGCAGAATTGAAAAGACCCAACCTCTCTCATGATTAAAACTAAAATTGAAGGATGAAACAGAAAGAAGTAGTCCCAAAGAGAAACAAAACTTCCAATTTTTCCTTTTCAATAGTTCAGAAAACAAAGGCAATGTTAAGTTGCTTGACACATGGAGGAGTGGTAGAGAGGCATTAAAGCTTTCAGAGTCTTCAATGAAATAGAAAGGAGAAAGAAGCACCACCCCCAGCCCCCATATTTGACCCCAATTTAGTGAATATTTTCAGAGTGCAAAAGGCTAGAACACACCTAATTTCTGGTAACTGCAACATATGAGGACTCTTATCATTGAAAAAGTCTGAACATTACACAAGTACCAGTTTGTTAGGCATTCACAGCTAATTTTTACAGTGCTTTCAATAATACACATGAGAACTGAATAAATGAATCATCAAATCCAAAGCTACTTCCTAACCATAATAATACACAGGAATTCTTAATGGCTTTGTAATTGTAGTCCAAAAGAAAGCAACTCCATACTGAAGATTTTACTGAAATTTTTCCACTGACACAAGGATCATACTCCCTTCACTGAGTTTACAAAAAAAGTTGTATCAGTATGAACCTCAGAAGAAAAAAGATTTTTCATTCACCATGTTCAAAACAACTGGCTTTAGTACTAAGCTAGAAAAGAAGCTGAAAAGATAAGGTGTTTACAATTCAGGCAGTTTAATAATGTAAGTGTTTTTAGTAAAATCCCTGTAAGAACATTCATATTTGCCTATCTTAGTTTAACCTCTGAAGCAAGAAAATAGAACTAAACTAAAAAACAACAAAACACAAAAGCAGGCATTTTAAGTGTGGAAGCTGTAATGGATTGTTGCTTTTGATGAAGCAAGAAATTAAAATTCCTTGAAAAGAGGAGAAGTAGGAGGAAGAGATAATACTAGTATTTTCTTAGACAGCTACAGCTCAAAATAAATGAACTGCTAAGAAAATATCTAAATATATATTTTAAATTCACAATAAAGAATCAAGAGTGTTATATTTTTAAATACTTGTTTTTAAAATCTTCTCTAGGCAGACTGTTGTAAAGAATAGATGATGGTGACACTTTGCTGCACCCAAATTCTGTAGAATAGTGTGTCCTCTTTTGGGCTTCTTGGTCCCAGATAAGACATTGACATCCTGAAGCAAATCAAGTTGAGAGTGAACAAGATAACAAAGGGGCTGGAACATGATATCGAGGAAAGGCAGAGAACCAGGTTTTCTCTCTGGAAGAAAAGGTACAGGGAGATCTTGCTGCCATCTCAGATATCTAACGGGTAAGAAGACAGACACACACATATTAGAAGACCACTGCAAATTCAAGGTAATAAATATGTTGGAACATAGGATATTCTAGTTACATATTATTAAAAAAATATTTTCATCAACCAAACGTTGGAGCAAGCTGCCCAGAAAGGTGGTGGAATCTCTATCCTTACACATTATGAACAAATGAACTGGATAAGGCTTATAAGAACCTGATCCAAGGTGGCCTTGCTTTAAGGGGAAAGTTAGATGGAATTACTCCAGACATCCCTCTCAACTTATACTATATCACTTTCATTAACAAATCTTCAAAGAAGGAAGGAAAAGGAAAAACCCTTTTGCTTTGTCACAAATCATCTTAGGGGCAGTAATAATGCATTTCCCATAAAGGAGTAGAAGAATGGACAATTCAAGTTGAAGAAAAGATTCTCAATAAGAAGAGCACTTTCTTCTATTGTCCTTTCTCCTGGACTAGACTGAGACCTATAGAAGTTTTTGACCACTTACTGTCAGGAATTTTGGTAGTTATTCAACAAAACATTACAAGGTTTTGCATAGACTTTCAATCTTCCTGAAGGGGTTTCAGGGAGCTTTAAGAAACTCACCAGAAATCCTACAGAAGTTTCAGTGTTGTTACTCACCCCAGAGAAAGGCTGTATTTAAAGACTCGCATTTTTGTGGATCACTGTCTCAAGTATCTCTCTCCTTCAGCAGAAAAATTGAAGTAAATATGATAATTAACTACTTCCAGTGGTCTAGGGACTTGCCAATATGTTTTGTAAATAACCCTTAAGATCCTGCTGTGTTACATGTGTGATAAATGCATTGAACAAGAATGCATAAAGATACCTAAATGCAGACTGCATTTTTCTCTCTGCACATGTCAGAAGGGCAGAAGAACTCCTCAAGGCAGAGCCTTAAAATAATAAGTAGGTATAGATAGGACACGCATAAATTAACCTGGCAATCTGATCCAAGATTTTTGTTATTTAAACAGCATTCTTTCAGTAGAAGCAGTGCCAAAAAGCCATAAACAGATTTAAAATGGGTCTTGAAATGTTTTCAGAGGAAAAAATTGCACAGTGATACAACCAGTAGAAAAAGAGCAACTCATTGGGGCTGGAATCGGGGATATGTATGAGATAAGATGATGAATTAGACTAGGACTAGAGGATGGCAACCTCAACTTGAAAAAGGACTAAAAAAAAAATGCAAATAATACACAAAAGTAGTATCATTCAATTGAGGACAAACTGTATCAAAAGGAAATCTGTCCGTGAAGGTGTGATAGAAATAAAGGCAGTGTCTGCTCTTTTCTCCTTGTTTCTTATGAAGAACACATCAAGCCTCTATTAGACCGTCTCCATACATTAAGGAAACTGAGAAAGCTTCAGATAAAAAGGTCCAAGTCACTGAGATCCAGAACCCTCTAGAAACAAGACACAAAGAGTCTAGGTGGCTGGCCTGATTAAGAAACAGATGATAATTCCACAAATGACAGAAGCTGGTAATGTGGCAGACAGACAATGGACAGGAAGATGATACTAAAGGATGAGCTGGCATTAGAAAGCACAGAGGACCAGATTGGTTAGCAAAGTTGAAGAATGTTATTGACTGTGGCAGAGGAAGGATATTAGTGGCAAAGAAAACATGCAAATGATTCCTGAATTTGTGTGAACAGTGGCAGGGTTAGGGTTAACCTGTGTTGAAAAGGACAGTTGCCCTTAATGCTACAATCTGAGTAAGAAGGTTATAGAAATGTTTCTAGATGGAAAAAGAGGCAGATGGGAAATGCTGAAATACAACAGTGGCGAGAACCAATGATAACTGGTAGATTGAGATGCTGGGGGAAAAAAAATTTGTGATTACTGACACAGTCAAAAAGCATAAATTCTGAAGCAACATTTTTATATTTAAGATTGTAAAGCCAGAAAGACAGCAGTCAAAAAAATGCTGTACTTCTTGGGTCAATGTAAGCCTTTGAGTTCTGGACATAAAGTTTTATAAGGTGCTTTCATAGGAAAAGAATTAAGGGAGACTAAGTGATTTTTAGGTATGGAATAATTACAGTGCAACCACACACTTGAACTCTGTGATGAGCAGAGTAAGTAATGAACACAGAGTACCTAAAAATGATAGGTAGTCAATAAATTATATCCACCACAATGCACTGTCTGTGAAGCCTACTAAACAGATGCCTGTAAGTCTACAAAGAACCATATTTCCATTATGAAAACATGACAACTGATAAACCTTAAAATAGATAACATTATCACCTCTCAAATATAAGTTCTTATATGATTATTTGTTTGAAGTAAAGGTTTCTCATCAACCTGTGCATCATGATCTTCAAAAATGATCTTAAAGAATTTTACATAGTACCTTCACAACATAGCTTTCATAAAGCATTCAGGACAAAATAGAACAGCAGAAACCACACCTGCTGCCTTTTCATAAGTATTAACCCTTCAACCACACAAACTTTTTATGGTAACTAAAATTGCTCAAGATACAATTTTGCATTCACAGGAACAGATTCAGAGCTAAAAGAAAAATTCTCATTTTAACCTAATTCTAGAACAGCATGTCTTTTAGATTTCATACCAGGAGAGCATATTTCTCCTCCCACGAAACTGCCGCTAAAACATTGCCTTCCTCTCCTCCCACACGCCATACCAATGTCATATGTAAAGCTAACACTAGAAGACTCTAATCCCATCACTCTGTCTTAAAATGTATTACCTTTTTTTTTTTTTTTTTCCTTCTAGGGAACTATTAAATGCCTTAAAAGGAGAAATAATAAAACATCAGTTTTAGAATAGTATTGGTGAGACAATGATTCTTTAGTGCTACCATTATTTGAAGATAACAAAAAGTGTTTGAGAATAAGCCACGAATTTTAACAGGAATATTTAGATGTACTTAGCATGGGCTTATAAATAGAATTTGTGCTTAGTATAGTGGTAAAACTGTAGGTATAAAATGAAAGCTTTGCTATTACACCATCTTCTGGTTAGACTTGGGAACTGTGACAAAGTTTAAGTTGAGAATTTAGGATATTGAGCTCTGAGCACTCGACAATTGCTAAAAAATCAATTTCATTCATATGGACAGTAAAAGCACATTTCCAGAACATGTTAGCTATACCTTACCCTCTTTTACCCTCTTTTTTTTTTTTTTTTTAAAGTAACTTACAGGAGTACTGATATATGAAGATGTTCTAATATCGATGATAACTGGGTCAGGTGTTTGTATATCAGGCACATCAAAGGCAGGGTCAACCTGTTGAAAATAAATTATATCATTATTTCAGCACCAACAGAGAAAAGGAAATAAGACTGAAATAAAAAGTGAGAACACACTTAGCAGACTAGATCAATTGGTTCCCAATCCCTATTCAAGTTCCTTAAGTCATCCATTACTAACAGACTGTCAATATGCTTACTTCTTCTGTACCAACTCTGATTGCCAAAATAACTTTGAAAGCACTTCTGTGGAAAACAGGTAGTAGGTAACACTGAAATCTGTGATAAGGTAACAGATCAAAGACAAAAGATGTTGCTCCTGAAACCACAGGAAAAAGTGCTTTATACTGGGACAAATTCAGAGGCTGATTGATCAGAAAGAATGATAGATGACAGAAATGTCATCACAGTACCTGCAATTTTGCTCTTAATATCACAGTTACTACTGGCTTTTTTTGGCCATAGGAGTTAATCTATAAATTTAGCAATATTTTGCTAATGTCCTTTCCTGAGAGTGAAGCATTAGGAAATCAGAGAATACGGAATTTGAGAAAGCTGCTTTTATCTTATGGTTTCACCTAAGGGATCAGAATAACATCCCTATAAGAAATCTGTGTGCATATTATCCCTATCACTATATTACCCAGGTGTATCACAGCCTAAGATGTTTGCCTTCTCAGAATGATGCATGGAAGTACTATTCTTAATATTTTATGAACTGGCAAAATTTACAGAAAGACTAGAAGACTTTCAAATCACCAAGAAGTCTGATGTAATATCATCAGTAATCCAGAGACAGTATTAATCCCAACCACCTTACTGAAAGCAGAAAAAAAATCCCAGAATCCCCAAAGCTCACACTTGCCTAGTGATAAGATTAAGTTTGGTCACTGGAAGTTTCTTAGCTACCAGGGTCATTTTACTTTGACTTCTCAAGAGGAAGATCCTACTATTTCACCTGAAGACTGTCAAAACTCTGGCTCAGCCAGAGCTGCTCTCTCAGTAACTGCTTCAGTGTTATTTCCAAAAGGAAAAATCCCTGATGTCCATACATTGATATAAAGACCTTTAGGTCAGAGACATGTTTGTTAAGTAGCTAGAATACAATCTGGAATTAATAGTCAGGGAAGGAGGGTAGCAACACCTTGTACTGCCTGAAGACTTTTCATTCAGTTTATTTAGATTTACATAACTTAAATGCAGAAATTTCAGTTAAAATTAATAGAAGTAAGATCTCCCTCAGTAAATACAAGTTAAAGAAGATGGACAAAGTTTACTAGCAAGTTAGAAGGTAAAGAAACATTTAAAAACAGATATTACCTGATTATTCAAAGTGAAAATGATTCTTACACTTTGCAGCACTTGCAAATCAGAGATGACGAACCATTCTTAAGGTGAGATCTTAACACTGTTTTTAAGCTTGTTCACTTCTCTGAGTAGCAGTGCTTAGCTCTTTCTTTTATTCAGTTTCAACAAGCCATTCATCATCTGTGATCTTTTTTTTTCTGTCTTCTGATTACAGGTGCATCAGTCAAGAATGAGCAGGGACTCAGGGACAATCAAGAAAACCCATTCAGCTACATGGTCATCACAGCTGAACACTTAAAATTCTCTCTCATTTGTAGATTTTAGGATCAAGCCTTGTTTTCTTTCAGTTTTGTCAAATAGAATTGGAGGACAGAAAGGGAAAGAGGAGAACCAAAGCCAGGTAACATGGTCTATGTAATAACATCTATTTAGCTGAAAATTCTACCATTTTAACTGGACTTCTCCTTTAGAATCTTCTCTGCAGAAACATGATTAATCAAAACCTCCTCTGCATACAGTATTGCTTACCACTTTTTCAGTGTTAAGGTGAGCAGGAGAGGAAGTGCAAATTTTACTGTTTTGCCTCTGTACATATCATATCTATTGAGATTACACAGCCAACTGTCCACAGAGTTTCCATTTGTTCAATGCCCAGGATAATCAGGGTCAGTTGCTTCTGACATTGTCAGCCCTACAATAGATATAATTAATGCATTATCCAAGTGCCAATCATACTAGGGACAGGTAAGACAAACTCATTTTCTGACATGCATAATTTGGGCACTGAAGAGAGGACAATGCATCTGCAGGATTCTGCAGAAGGGGGACAGTAGATGCCTACTATCAGTACTCTAATGTGGAGGAACTACTGCAGTATGATCACTAATAGCTCTTGAAACATCTTCTTTGAGATAGTATCTCTTTGTTGCATACATGGAGATATTGCAGAATGAGTTAAATTCTTGATACTGGTTGGTAAATAAATATATGGTATTATTAAGTTTTAAAAAATGCTCTTTTTGTAGAAGTGTCACATCCTGAAGCTAGAATCAAAGTTCCTCTGATTATGCTTCTGCTTATTGCTTTACCAGTGATAAGGGGAGGATGAAGAACACTGTAAACACTGACTGGAGGTGGAGGAACTGTCATAACCCATGCTAAAATAATCAATATAAAATTATTAAGCAACTAGTTCGAAATAGCATCTAAAAGGTGTTTAAAAATGCACAAAAATATAAAGGCTGTATCAAAGTCCTTCACACAAATACTAGTGTTTAATATTGCACTAAAAATGAATGAGGTAATGGAATGAAGCTAAAAGTAAAAGTTTCAAATTACTTGACATTTCCTGAAAAGGTGAAGTGGTTACCTGTAAAATAATCTTACCAAGGGAAATCTTCAAGGTAAGTCTTTGAAAAGACTTAACTTTAAGAAACAAAACAGAAAAACCAGAGCACTAAAATGCAAGGTAGGGAGTACTGTCACATGTTACAGGTTTTCAAAAACACTCCTTTCAAAGCCTTGCTTTAATTACCTGATATATAATAAACTGATATATACATATTTTCAGTATCATCTTTTAACATGATGCAGTTATCACATTTTTATCCATAATAAAAAAAATATATTTGAAAGGAAGGTTTCTACAGAATCTCTCATGAATTAGAAAAATTCAAAGAGGAAGTTTTAAATTACTCACAAAGTATTTCTTAGGAAAGTGATTTGTGAAATAGTCTCTCCAAACACATTAAGAGAAAATTAGCTTTCAATTTGACTAAACACTGTTCTTTGTTCTAGACTGGGGCCCTCAAGCAAGCTATATAATCTTCTTTCTACTGCCATCTAGTGTATATTTGAATTTCCTTCATCTGAGAAAATATTTACAACTGAAAATACACTGAAAATTTTAAGATTAAATTAAATCAATAAAAGCTCTTTGTGCACAAGAGATAAACTCTATGCACCTTAATGTGTTCAAACCTCAAAGCTGTTTTGAAAGAAATTAATTTATTTTAAAGAAGTCTTTAGCAAATGAAAGGTCAATTACATACAAACATGGCAAATTCAGAGATACAATTCTCACCAAGTGGAATGTAGTTTTTAGTATACTTCACTAAAATTGCATAACCAATTAAACTACTATTTTCAAATAACTCCACAAGGTCCTTATGTTAAACAGAGACAACAACAGGGATTTATCACAGCTAAATTTAGACATACTGCTAGACACCTGAATTTGAGCTGGTAATCACCTAAGATTATCTCTGTGACCAACAGAAAAAAAAATAGGTGCCTTTAAAGAACAAATAAGTTATTTACATTTCCAAGTTGTCTGAAAAACTGAAATTAACATAAGCATTAAAACTCTCCTTACTTGAATATTCAAGAATCACATTGATGAGTGCAGTTGGGGGACAATTATAAAGTTTTACAACTCAAGAACATGAAATTCAACACTGCTTTAAAATTCAGGCAACTGCTGGGCTGAGAAGACACAACTAATGATTTTCTTGTAAAAGTTAATTATGCCTCAAAAATAGGTAGGTAGAGAGAAAATAAAATAGGGAAGGTATCTGAAATTCTACTGGTTCAATGTTTAGCTTTGAAGAGTGAATAAGAAAAAGTAATCAGAAAAGGCAAAATACACTCAAGCTTCATCTTTCTGTTACTATCCTGAAGGCAAAACACCAGATGATACCTGCAATTCCTTATGCCCTTGTGCCAGCTGCTTTATTCAAAACAGCATTTCCAACAGGTGATGTGTGAAAACATTGCAACTGTGCCTCTGATCCCAGCTGAATAAATTCTGAGCCAGCTCCATTTCTGTGTATACTATTCCCCCAGAATATAGTTCTGGAATTACAAGGACTTTGTCACACTGAGACAAGCAGGGATAGAGAAGCAATAGCTAACCAAAAGCAGTAAAAAAAAAAAAAAAAAAAAAAAAAAGAAAAAAGAAAAAAGGGAAGGTGTGAAACATTAGGAATTTTTAAAAATAGGGGGCAAATTACTTTCCTCTTGAGTTCTGCCTGCACATCCGTTTAACTTTTTGTGTTCTAACACCTTTAATTTTATCCTAAGGCAATCCCTCTTCAGTCCTGTTGTAGAGGTGACTAAACCAGCTGAGCATAACTCAAGGCAATGTATTACACCACATCTCAAGCATTTAGATGACATTGTAGTGGCTTGTAGCAAACCTTAAGCAGTCATTGATAGTTTGAAAAATCCCATCTCCAAACTGCCTCCTCTGCCTGCCTGTAACTCTTGTTTATGTTACCAGGTCTCTTACTTGTTACTTCTGTTTAGTTAAGATGAATTATCTTACTCTGTTCACATAGAAATAAGATGAGAAAGGAAGAAAATAAGGAAGAAAGGAAGAAAGAAAGCAGTTCTGTATATGATCTGAGGTGTAGATGAGATAATAGGAAAAAATTGTCATTACAACTGCTATGCTCTAGTGGAATAGATCACACAGAGAGATAGGGGAATCTCCAAACCTCTTCAAGACCCCCTAACTGTCGTGAACGGCGGGAGAAATGCGACACACCGTATGCGTGAATAGCAAATCTCGAAGTTTATTGAAAACCCACACATATTTATATTGGTGTTAATGAAGCTTATACATATTGCAAAAGCTAAGCTCATTATTGGTTAAAGCACACTTGGATCAACCACACCTACTTCTATCTTCTAGTAATTGTTTTGCTTCTATGTTTGCATTCTTCTAGCTTCTCTACCTAAGATATCTACATTTTCTGGCAAGCGATTTTCTCCCCCGTCTTCCCGTTTTGGAGAAGGTCACTGTGACCTTTGTCAGTGATTGGACACTGGTTGCTTAGTTCCCAGCTTGTTTCCCCTATCCTTATCCATTGGTATCACATTGAAATGTCCTTTCTCAGCTAACCAATTATCCAAAAAGCTCTCTACACCTAACCAGACACAGCTGAAATGATGTACCACTGGTAGGCAGAACAGATCATCTCCAGAAGCTCCCTCTGACATGCCTGTGATTCCTTTCTCTTATATATTAGAAACATGATGAACCATTGAAAGATGAGGGTAGGATTGCAGTGGAACAGCCTAATGCTAGAATTCTCTGTATTGCCTCTGGCTTAGAAAGAGGTTGGCATGTAAAAAAATATTTTAACTGAAGAAGGACAAAAATACTTTTTTTGTCCTTTTCTTTTTTTGTACTTTTTTTTTCTTTTTCTTTTTTTTTTCCAGATTACAGCGCAGTGGGCCTAGACATTTCGCTTTTTCTCAGTTAGAAGAGGAAATAGTTAAGAAGATGGAGCACTGGAAAATTTCAAGCACAGTGCTACCTAAGAATTAGTGCATGCTAATGAAAGCATGTTACTGCTGGTAGTAAGCTGATATCAGGTTTGTCTGTATAAATCATGGTTTTGTCCAGTTGGTGAAGTCTATTCTTCCTGATCACAACAAAAATCCCACAATTTTTGTTGAGACAGATAGGAGGAACCATAAAAACAAGAAAAGACAAATGGAGTGAGAAAATGTGGTAATTTCACCTTAACACCATCTCAATTATTATACCATTACGTTAATTCCAAAAATTAGCTGCAAAAGCAATTCTAATCACTATCACTCTACTATTTAATTTACAATACGAAAATATATTATATTATAATAATGAGTTTTGTTGAAACTGCCCGAAACTGTCTCAAAGAACATAACATACTTGATATTTACCTGAGAGAAAGATATTCTAGTGACAATATAATGTTAATAGAAAACTAAATACAGCAGCTCTCATTAAAATCCTGAAATCAGGCCAGAAAATATAACACAGAGTCCAAAACTTTGCTATGACAAAGCCATAGAGCTCTTTCACTACTATGGAGCAGCCCAGGAGCCTATCAGCTGTTACAAATGCTGCAGCCATTAATAAATGCATACATAAAGCTAAGTTAACTCTGTCAAAGCTAACTAATAAATAATTTCTTGACATTCAGCTACTGAATTTCCTTGATGAGCCTTTTCAGTAATGATAATGAGGCTTCCTAGCCTTAGTTTAACTTCAGCCTGAACTCATTAATGCTTTTCCAGAGCTTCTTAATTACCCAGGACCCAGAACAAGAAAAAAAAAATTGAAAAATTCATTTAGAGCATATTCACATCTTTACCAGGCATGTAGACATCAGAGAGGTCTGGAAATGTTGACCTGAAAAGAAGACAATGGACCCCTGCAGCTATAAGCTATTGTGTTTGTTTAGTACATGTTATAACTGAGTGCAATTTGAATGGTCTCGAAGCAAAATGTTGCTCCAGCAAGACTGGCTTGAATCTGCTGGCTAATGCTGTGATTGAGTTTGTTCTGGCACTGACCAGCTATACTGAAGGCTGGTACCAGTAAACTGAATGAACTTCATTCATTTACCTTACAACAAATATGAAAGTCCAGCACGGAAGTTTGTTTATGAAGTTTGTTCATTAATGAAGCTTTTGGTCAGAACAGGATGCAGTCATCCTGTTGTGACCAAAATGCTAAGCATTAGAAAGCTACACATCCAACTTGGCAATAGAACCAGGCACAGAAGAAATCTTATTTTATCAGAATTCTCTTCCTCCAGCAAATGTTCTCAATCTTTACACCACTCATTTGCATGTATTCATACTGCAAACACACCCACCCACCCAAAAAAAAGCTCAATATCCTCAAATATCAATGTTTTAAAACTGAGCAGGAAACAAATGCCATGGCAGCAGTATCTACATTTTCTATGTAGGCAACCAGGCAATGGTGAATTTCTATAGTACTCTGATAGCATATTACAGTAACCAGAAAGTTCTGATTGCTGTTCTAGATTTATTTCAGGTATGATTTTCAACACTAGAGGAACCTGGAGACTATCAAAAAAGAGAAGAAAATATAGGTGATCACCATGCAGAAGCCAGCCAGCTCTATGAGGGACTGTGACAAATAAAGTGTAAACAATGGCCTCATTGAAGGCATAGCACTGTTTACCTATTGGGCATAACTTTCAGACTATTTGACAAACACAAGATTTTTCCTAATACTGACACAGAACATTTGGCATTGCACTTTTATTCCCTGATTTCCAACACTTTCAGTGGATGCCAGTAGAGAGTTTGACAGTAACTACTGTTCAAGAATGAAATATCAGGAAATAGTGCTGTAAAACACACTGCTAGCCTAGAAAGTCTTTTAGGTAGATATCAAGATATCTTCTCACAACACCTAAAAGTCTTGGAAAGAGGGACAGCTTGTGACAAGCAAGTACTTGACTTTCAGTAATATCAGCACATTGTCCTCCTTACAATGATGTATTTTGATAAGTATTGTAAAGCTCAAGATACCTACTGCAACACTTGCAGAGTTATTTCAGAAACCAGATTATCAGGTATGTTTTGCTTGAATGAGATGTAGAGTATAGACACAGAAGCAGCATGAAAGTAATTTCAGCTTAAACTTGCCAGCATCAGCTTGCCTAATAGCCCTAATGAGGATTCATAAATTATGGTTGCTTCAAAAGTGTTACACATAACAATAAAAAGCTCCCTGATACACATAAAACATATATAACTATAAATGTCAGTTTTAACAGAAGCTTCTTGTTTCCTATATTAGACAATTTATTGCACTCACCTCAATTGATGTAATTTTTTCATCATGGAAATGACATGACCTTGGGTAAATATCAAGAAGATGAGGAGGATCATCAATATGTGTTCTTCTAAAATTGTGTTCAAGAACTTCTTCATAATCCAAAGTGTCAAAGTTGGTTTTCCATAGTAACACCTATAAGAAATCTTCATATCAGTAACTACTTGAAGGCTATTCAGTGCTCAAAACCTAACTATTCAGTAAAGTCTGCTATTACTAGTAGATAACTGCATCATAACAATACTGCAGTGATGTCTTAGTCTGATCTCTATTGCAACACAGACACTTCCCCAGAGTATTTTTACTTCAAATCTAAAAGATGTGGTTCAATCTATTCAAAAAGTAACCTCTAAAACACATCTATAATCACAAACTGTCCCACTGAACTGTCCCAAGTTACTTTTCTCCAGATTAAGGGATCATATACTGTTGAATTTCTGCCCCCTATAAAGGCTTGCAGGTCTAACAAGAAAGTTTGAAGGAATAAGAGAAATGAGAGAGTTCCACAGAACTCTAAAACACCTGGTTTCCAGTGTTTTAGCAACAGGAATCTCTTTTCTGAACTTTGTCTCATTATGTTCTAGTTAGAAACCATATATGAAGTCACACATAAATGACCAAATGCAGAAGGTCGTGGGACACAGAGGTAGTCCAAAGGTATTCTATCCAGTCTTATGAATATTCCACATAGGCTACTACTTTTCAAACAAATAGGTATAACTTTGCTCTTTCACATAAAAGGTCTTATGTTTTCCATGGCAAAAGGTTAATGAAATAAATTGCAATGTGCACATACAGCCAAAAATGTGAGCAACATGACAGAACACTATACTTTGAGATCTTCTTTGTTTGAGGAAAGAAGGAAATAGAAAGAAACAAAAGTATCCAGTGTTTGTTTCAAATATTTAACCTGCATCTGAACAACCCTGTCAGCTAGTTCTGCACCAACCAGAAACTTGATACAAGAAGCAGAGATACTGGTTTTCCTTCTTTGATGGAAAGGTATGGAAGGATTTGTTGATTGAAAACATCTTGAAATAATATATGTATGAAGGAAGCAGTCTTCCACAAACTTAAGAGTGTATCAGCTGCCTCCAGTGCATGCTGTGAACAGACCATATACTTTGGGTATTGCATGAGGGGTATAAGATGATGCTTCTATGGCCAACCTCTGCTCATAAGCATGACATTGCCAGCAGAACTTTCCCAACAAATGCACCCTACAATTACAGTAAACCAATAATCACAGTGAATTGAGAACTCCTCCTGGCACACCTGGAAGAAGGCTGTGGACAGGTCAGCAAAATGGGCTGTTTAAGAAGTATGTGTGTATACACCAAAAGAAAATAGACACAGAATGAAGTTCTTATGTTTACTATAGATAAAGATATACCTTGGTAGTTACCCAACAGTGGCTAGCACATTTTAAAACTTAGAAAAGTGAAAGCTGCAGCAAAGTAAGTACTCCTCTCCCACCAAAATTTTCTTAAAACAAAGGGAAAAACTTCAACAAACACAGGAAGGCCCGTTTTTAAGGTATTGAAAGTTATTAGATCTGCTATGACTACTTTTTAATTCAACATTTAATTCAACATTTCATCAGTGTTTCCTGATGAAACTGGATCTTCCCTCTCATATATTCACCATGAACCCACTATATCAAACTGCTGAGGACTTGAAGACATGGATTTTTACCTACTTTTTCCATGCTCTCATGCCCCAGCTTTACAACAGAAAATCAGGGCAGGAAAAAGGCAATGACATGACTGCACTGAACACACATGCCATTCAGGGGGCCCCAAGTTCAAAGAACTTTGAAGTAAGACAGGCATTACCAGGGTGTGGGAGGCTGTGTTAGGCTTAATACTCTAAGTCTTTGCCTTCATCAGAGCTTCTCAGATTAATCTTCTGTCATGTGAACACAGGCACTTTTGCTCCTCTCAAGTATAATGTACCGACAGTCATAAAACTCAGAATACTCATGGAAGGTAAGGTCAACAATTCAGAATTACATAGGACTAAGCTGCATTTTGGGACTTAAAATCTTATTTAGAACTTCAGTATGGAAAATCAAAGATCATACTAGTGAGTCAAGAAATAAATATCTTTCCCCCATTCTCAGTTGGTTTGTGGGATTTTTTCCCTGCTTTTTTCCCTGTAAAATTAATATTGGATGTTTGATAACATTTTCACTTTTCCAATAACTTCAAGTCTTGGCAGTACATTTTACTTAATATTTTCTGATAGAAAGCAATTTTTTTTATCTCCCAAGACCATCTCTGCTACTAGCTCAAATTTATTTCAAACTCCACAAAACAGAATATAGCCATGAATTATGGTAAACTCAAAAAATCTTAATTTCAACAGCATAGCTTTTTATATCTACATTGAGCTTTTAGCTTTTTGTAACAGGAAAACATGAAAAAGACAACTAAGAAACATTTCAGACTGAAAATTTAAATATTGTGCTACAAAATTTCTTTCTTTATGGAAACTTTATAGACCTCATAGAGATGATTCCAAGGTTGATAGTATGTGTTCTTAATTATGAAATTTATTACAGAACATAGAGATTAATTATAAGACTTACTGTTTAACTTTTTTTTTTAATGCTCAAATGACTCTTCTTTCCTTTATAAAATCCAGTACTTTACTGTTTCACCAAAGAAAATTAGTAAAGGTAACACAAGAGGTTTTTTTCCCCAATTCTAGCCAAAGTTTTCCCAGTAATACAACTTAATACCTACAATTACAGAGTCAGGACTTTAAAAGCAGTGAAAACCTAACAAAGCAGGTGCCACTTAATAGTAATTGCAATATAACTACTTCATTGACACTGAATTGCAACACTTTAAGTATTCTTCGTCAAAAACCACTAAATATTTTTAGCCATACTATTAAAATATGTAAAATAGACATGGTTAGTCCTCTCCTCATCATAATATCCAACAGAAAGTCTATATAACACACAAGTAGCCAGAATGCATGAGAGTAATTAGCAAGTTATTGTGAAATACTATATTTAACTCCCATCCACTGTAACAAACTAAGACATTTCATTTAAGGAGACAATACCACAAACCTGAGCATCCACTCCACCTGAGGCAAAATTTTCACCACCTTTTGAAAAAGCCACACAAAGTACAGGTCCCTGGAAAAAAAATAGCATACAGTAAAATTAGGCTATTACTGTAATTATGATATTTTAGTCCAGAGAAAACCACCAATGCCATTACCTAATGTAATAGATTTTTCAATTTTAATAAAATGAGGAACAATTTTTACTGTATTGAAATTTCTGCAAAACTTGATTGAAAAGTTAATATTGCACATTTTCATAAGATGCTACATTACAACTACAACAATCTAAACTAGGAAAATAGTGGCATTATCCTTAGATTTTATACTTCATCTTTGCAATGAAAAATTACAAAATATATATTCTATTACTCAAGGCAATATGTTTGAATGATTTATTATCAAAAATAGGGTTTGTTTGGCATTAACAGGAAAAGGAGGAAATGCCTGCCATTCTTCACAAAAGTTATCTTCTGTAAGCTTCCCCCTCCTTAGAAAACACTGTTTTTCAATAAACAATAGGACTGAAGTGCCAAATAACATGATTTTGAAAATCAAGTGAATTATTAATGAATTTAGAACATGAGCTTTTACTTAACATCAAGTGTGTCATATTGACAGATAAAAAGCATGGTAACAGGTAAAAACTGATGCATTTCCTTAACCACTTGTGACAAGGTGCAGTAACACAACACCTGGCTGTCCACTAAATTTCATCTGCAAGTTGCAAGATAAAAGACACAATGGCATAAATGTTACTTTCCCTCTGTAAAGATACTGAACAGCTTATTAAGATCTCCATTTAAAGAGGGTTATTGTGTATACCTTGTGTCCATGAAGAGTGTAAATAAGTCTTTCTCCTAAGAGGTCCAGAATCTTAAGGGTACCGTCAGAAGAAGCAGTGATGAGGTAGTTACCAGAAGGATGGAATGATATACAATTAACCCCTGCTCTGTGAACTGATTTACAGAAGACAATATTCAAAAGCTGTAGATATCTACTAAGAAGATATGTACACTTTATTTCTTTGCTCTTTTCTACTTCCCAAAGAACTACTACATTTAAGGAAAAAACAACAAAAGTGCTGAGGCACAGAAGACTTGTCAGAGCATTTGCTTAGTTCAGGTCTAAAAATTAAGGGAAGCAAAGAAATAAAAAGTAATCAGACTAGATTCTTGGTGTTGCTAGACTACAAAAAGATACTTACAACATGTCAATATGACTTGTTTGTCAACTTTCCCCAATAATACTCTTAATAAATCACATTTAATTGCAAAGAGTCCCATTGTAAAGAAAATAAAACAAACTACATTGTTTTTACCTTTGAAATGCTGCAGTAGCTTGTTCGTTCGAATATCCCATAGTTTCACTGTGTTATTGGAACCTGCAGAAGCTATACATGTTCCACTTGGGTTGAAATCAACAAAAGTTGGAAATCTAAATATAATTAATGAAAACAGATTTATAATGTGTTCCCACAGAAATATTTAGGTGCGTGTATATATATAAAGCCCACGATATTAACACTAAGCTGCCACAAACTTGTGTGGCATCTACATGTATGGAAACTCAAATAAGGCATTTCAAGGAACTGAAATAAGCATAAGAAAACAAGATGTACATGATAAATCATAATCTCACTTTTGTTGAAAACACAGTATAATTGATCCAAATCAAACCTTCACAATTTGTGCTAGAATACAAAGTTCCTGGAAGATAGTGCTGCAAAGAGTTTATAACAAATAAAATAATTTTGTCTAAGAACTGACAACACTTTGGACTTCAAAAAGGATGAAGGCAGCCATGAAATCAGCAAAGCATATATACAAGATAAATATTCCACTGAGTTGTTAACTAAAACTCTGGATCCAAGATGTTTAAGAAAACTGCATATAAGTAAAAAAAAGTATTTTTAAACTTAAATTAGGCAGATCACTGAAAGTGTTACTGAAAGTAACAAAATACTCTTTTCATCAACAGGTGGAAAAGTCTGCAAGCTTTCTTCTTGTTGAAGCATCCAATATCAAATAGCATTACCAAAATTGAGGGAAAACATGGAAACATTCCAAAATCCAAGAATAATCTTACTTCTGTTTGGATTATCTCTTGATTGCTGGAAAACAGCTGTATAAGTGCAGCCAGTTAACCTCTTTAGAAAAACATTATAACATTATATGAATTATTTTAGTTGACATGGGTTGTAGAAGTCTGGTCTGTTTTCAGATTTAACATATATAGATGTTAATACATTAATGTTAATGTATTAACATTAATGTTAATACAGAACATTAAATTAATGTCAGTAAAATTACACTATTACATTTCTCCTTTTTTTCTAGTAAAACTTACCCTTCATAATCTGAGAAGGTATTAATGCAAATTTTATTTCTTGTATCCCAGATTTTAATAGATTTGTCCTCACCACAAGATGCTATTATTCTTCCATCAGGTGAAAATCTGGAACACACAAGTGTACACATTACTTGAGAACTGATTCTGCCTATATTAGCATTAGAGACATAAGTAACAAAACACGAGAACCAAGGAAGCCTGCTTGAAATAAGGATGCATAGCATTTAAAGGACATTTGAATTTATAGTATTTCTCATGGACTAATACAACTGAAAAGAAAAGCTTCTTCCCTATTCCACTCTGGCCCATTTCATAAAGAACTACAATTAAAAACAGAGCCATAAGCAAGAGGAAGAGAGGGGGTTGAGGGGAAGGTATCAGCAACCTAAGGATGTCACTACAGATGACAAAGAGATTAGTAAAGAAAACTATAGGTAAAAAGACACAGAGGACACAGTAGAATCTTGTGTTCAATGTTAACCTATATTTTTGTTCTCTGAGTTCTTTCTAAACTTACAAATAGTGGGCAAAGCATTCACAATTATTCCTAGACTAGCAGACCAAGTTTTTGTCCATAACTTCCTCAAGCATTATTATTTCACTTATTGCGCAACTGCACAATGACACTGAAAAACTGTTCAAGAACTTTCACATGTGATTTCCTAGAACTTTCCTTTTTCTTATATCAGGCCTCTCTTAGGTGCAGATTTTCCATTAATATGGAGGAAAGGAAAAATTTTTTAAAAAGAAAGCAAACAATATTTTCTTGCCTTTGAGAAGCTGTCCTGTCTTTTAAAGAGTATGAATCCTAACTTGCAGTCCAAGGCCATTTCTTTTACCTTTTCCAATTATGTAAGCTTAACTCATCTGGATTCATGACCATTCTTTAATGCCACTATGATTCCAAGAATAGTTGAGAAAACCCCTACAACGCATAGATAAATCTAGACATGAGTGCCAGGAAATAAGTTAATACAACAAAAAACCAAACAAAACTGGAGAAAGACAGCACACTGACTAAAAATAAATACAGAAGACCCCATTTGTCCTTTAATGTAGTAGAATGAAGACAGCAACTGATTTAGCATGTACACATATTAACACAGAGCAAACTTTCATACTTCAGCTAGGTCTACACAAAACTTGTGCACATAAGATTAATTTATTAAAATTTAATTACTGGTGAGAGATCATTGCTTGTCCTTCACAGATGTTTCTTCTCTTATTTCTACCCTGGGATATAAAATCCCCTTTGTTAGGAATTCTACTTTACCAAGAGAATAAAAACAACACTTACTTGGCACAGCAAACCCAACCAGTGTGTTGGAAGAGGGTAAACAAAAGGCGCTGATAGCAAACACTCCATATTTTTATTAATTTATCATTGGATGCTGAAACTACAGAGTAGCCATCGTGGGAGAAGCTCACACTCCGAACAGATGCTGTATGACCTTTCAGTACTGATGATTCTCCATGACTAAGGGGGGGAGCAAAGAAAAGGAAACAAAACCCCAAATACCAAGTCACAAATCACAGTTATATTAAAGAGCTTAAATCCCCATAAAACTCAGTGTTAGCATTTTTACAATCTTACTCAAATGAAAAAGCAGTATACAGAGGCCAAATCTTAATGGCACCATTATATTTTACTTATTTAAATATTATTAGAATAACATTCCTTAAGTTGCATTTAACATGACCAATTTTACAGAACAGCGAAATTAAGTAGCATCATTGGCCTTTAGTCTCATTAGCATTAGTATTGGAAAGAGAATTTTTTTATATAGTAATCTATAAAACGCTTGAAAGTTCAAGTAACATCAGTCTAAGATCATACTGAATTACTCATAATTACTACTACTCAAGAACAGTCTTACAAAGCAAGTCTATTATTTTTTTTTTCCAAAAAAAACTATTGCTCTCCTCATCACTTGTCTCCCCAAAATGAAGTGCAGCCATGCAATCCTTATTAAAATATCATCTTTAAGCCAGAGAAATATTACAAAGCATAGTTCTACACACATGAAATTGTGACCTCTCAGTTGTTATATTTTTCTTTTGAAACTACAGAATATTCAGAAAAGAACAAAGTAATACAGTAAAGAACTGTGTTGCTTGTGGTCCCCAGTCTCTGTTTCTGTCAAAGCCCAGGCATGGGGGAAGGAAAAAGAAACTTTTTTGAGTAAAGCCTCGCATATTCACACTGCACAATAATGAAACACATATCCAGCATTGCTCAGTCATACTCACATGCAAGGAATCCATAGCCTGACAGTGTGATCCTGAGAAGCTGAAGCCAGCACCCGCCCATCTGGTGAGAACTCTACACTTGTCACCGCTTCCGCATGCCCTGAAAATCTGTAGGCGCTGCACTGTGTCCTCAGCTTCCACAATATGAGTAGCCTGTCCACAGAGCAGGTAACTGCAAGAAGTGAAAGACATTAGGAGCCTGCTCACTGTTTGTATGAAAGTCAGAGCTAACGACTAAGGATTTGGATTTACCAGAGAACTTAATGGATATTACGGGAGGGAGGAGTTATTAGGCTTGAAGGGATACTTAGCCTAAGCAGAAGCCTGGTAGCAAGTAATGGCAACACCAGGCTTTCAGAAGGATGTCAGAAGACTGGGAGAAGTAAAGGGTAATTCTTAACTGGTAGCTCTCTCACATACTAAGCCAACTGGCTTACAAGTACTTTGATGACACAGAGCAAAACGTTCAAAGCCAAACATCATGCACATGAGTATGAATCCAGATTTGGTTTTATCAAATCCTAAGAAAAACAGGCAAATTCTTCAGTAATCTCATTTTTATTCCTAAAAGACTAGCTTCTGCTAAAAGATGTGTGACCAGACTACCCCTATGCCCATATCAACAGGCCTGTTGTAGGATTGACGGGGGTAGCACGCTCAGGATGGACGGAGACGAGAGATCTCTGAAGCCAGGTCGTGGAACTTGCGGTTTATTGCAAAGGGCCTGGGTGCAGGGCCCTGCTGGGAGCTGCCAGCCGCAGCTCGGAGCAGGCCCGAGAGAAGAGAGGGGTAGAGAGGATGAGAGTAAAAGGGGGTAAGAGAGTAAAAGGGGAGAGCTAAGAGACAATAGGTAAGAGCATAGAAAGTAAGTAAGCGAAGTTCCCGTTACAATACAATGAATCATCTTCTGTGTTGAATATTCTGATTCTCACTAACCAATCTAGTACAATATATAAATCCTATAGCATTTCCATACAGCCTATAAGAATCACTACATTACCACACTGTGCTACATTTTTGTCATGGTTTGACACTGGCACAATGCTAGTGCTTCTATGAAGATACTTTTTTTCTGGTTTTTGCTGTGAGATGTGACTAGGAATAAGTAAAGTAGGCTCTTACTTAGGGAAGAAAGAAAACAAAACTTTATTAACTATATTACAACTATGGATAAAAAGGAACACACACAGGGAAAATGAAAACTTTACAAATACATTTCTTCTTCTCTTTACTAAATTTCTAACACAATACATCTATTTTTTAAATTACTAACTTTTAGTCTAGAACTACTTTTTAAACAATCAATTTTTAGTTCATCAAGAGGAGAGGAGTCTTTCTTGTACTATGGGCTTCTCTTGGAAACACAGCTGAAGCTTCGTGTGTTTCTGTGTCACTCATGGCACTGCTTGGAGTACATCTGCTGTCTTGACCTCTTCCTTTCATGTTTAGTGCTTTTACTACTGAACAAGGACTAGAGCTGCTTTTAGGGTTGTCTTTTTTTAAGGATGCTCCGTCTCGGTCTAAAAAAGGCACAGTCTCTTTTTTGGGACACTTGTCTTCACAATCTCTTTTGGGACACTTGTCTTTCTTATATTTTTTCACCCCCTGGGGCTGAGGGGCACTAACACTGAACTTTCTTGGTTCTGTGGCCATTGCCTCCCCCTAGAATGCAGTTTCTGTATCACAAGGAACATGGTTCTGTCTATGGCTGTACAAAAAGAGTTTAGCAAAAGCTACTCTATCATCTTTTCTTACTAGGATTCTTCTTTACTCGTCTACTATTTCTCACTTGTTTAGACTTCTCTCACACTTGCACATTCTTTCTTCATCTTCTACTTTATTTTCTAGGAAAGGTCTATATTCTGTAAAGTTTTCATTCTTTGAAAAGGGGTTAAAAGCTTTTACAAGCGGCTGGCTGCACTTTCTCTTTCTTCTCTTTCTCAGCTGTGCTGCCGGCACAGGCTTATGTTTATCTAGTTTTAAGGTTACAGTTTTAGGCAGCGGCTCTCTTTCTCTCTTTTTCTGTGTTTCTCAGGGGGGGCTGCCTGATGGCTTTTGGTGTTTTTCTTTCTTTCTTCTACCTTTCTACTCTTGGGGTCAGGCCTATCTCTCCTGGCCACATGGCTTTTCCCCTCCCCTTGCTTAGCTAGCAGCTGGGCCTGAGGAGAGACTAGAACTCTTTTTGCCGGAAACTTTAAGAGGACCCTCCCAGGGGAGAGCTCTGCTTTTAACCCCGTGTTCTCAGAGGTGTGTCCAATGTCCTAATGGCCAGGTTAAATGCCAATATTAAAGCCTGAATATCCATTGGCCCAAAACACAGCATCCCAAAAAACACATTTCCTGTCAAACCACCACAATTTTAAACCCTAAAAACTACTCTTTGGAGCCCTTCTGCCAAGCTGGCAGGGTTTGCTTGGACCCTTGGACCTGCCTGCAAGCAGAGGGTCTTGTTTCATCAAAAGGGGATTACTTTCAGCCAGCCACACCATTGCTTTCCCATTGTTCAGTAACTAAGGGATCTCAAAGCTTGCTTTCATTTCAATCTCACTTATAGTTTCCATATTCTCAAAATCTTTTGCCAGACAATCATATTTATAAGGCTTTCCTGTTTCATCTTCCCCAACAGCCTATATTTGACAGAGAAATACAGGTTATTTTCCCTCCACTTCAACTTTTCAAAACCCTGTTTTACAGCAGGGTTTTTCTAATTGTACTTGAAAGAATTTCTTTTTCCCTTTGATTCTGAAAAGTGATCTACAGTGGAGTAAAACTAAAAGGAAAAAATGAAACATAAGCTAAAATAGAATTTGAAGGCATAGGGCTGGAAATGTGAAACAGACAAGACTGATGGCTTCTAAAACAAATAATTGATGAACTACCAAATACCTGTAGCATCTTATGAACTGCATGAAGGCTGTGCAGTATCAGCTTTTGGTTCTAAAAACTGAGGGAAATATTCTTAGAAAGATGACAGCACCATTCATTCAGAGCATGGTTCCTTGTAGCTTGCTGTCTCATAGATGGGCTGTCCCAAGGTAAATGAGGCACAAGCAGTGATCTGAAGTTCTCCTTCCTGTGGGACATCTGTGACCATCGTCCTTATTTTTCCTCTGGACTCCCTGCCACATATGCAATACTTAAATATTGGATCAGAAACAACAAAAAAAGCACAGAAAGTCCAGAAGAAATTTTTCAGGATGCGCCATAGCACAAATAGGCCTGTTGCTCCTCAGAGAATACATAACATAACCAGAACCATGTTTAGAGGTGAAAGACAATTTGCCCTTGCTATGATAAACTGAAAAATATAACTAAAATTTAGAAAACTGAAAATTCACAATGAGCTGACTTCAACATACAACTTACTCCAGTTTATAACCTGAGTGCCTTTTCTTCTTTAAACATCAATGCTTCTGTACACACCCACATACAGCAGACACATCACTGGATAATTTACTTTTCTGCTGATGAGTCATTACAGAACTGAACACCAAAAAATAGACTTGGCCTTATGCAAAGGCCAAGTTGAGAGATCTACAGCAAAGTGGTGTGTAAGCAGATACCTAAGCTTCACATATGCCATAAAAAAGATTTTATGGTATTTGCAATGAAACAAAGTTCAATTTATGAACTGTGACTATTGACAGCATACATTTTTATACATACGCACACAAATATATGAACACAAGTTGCTGTAATACAGAATTACCATTTCACTCTCATTTCCCACAATAGCAAAGTGGTGACTAAGAAAGTTGTGCAAAGATCAAACGAGACAAACTCAGGTCTTAACAGCTCGATGTACATCTCCCAAAATACTGAAACATCTCCAATATAATTAATCACTCAGTGCAAGAATTACAGGGCAGATGGAATACAGTGCAAATGATGGGTGTGTGAATATTCTAACCCTACCACTGCCAACAAACCCTCACACTTTACAGGAACCCTGCAGCTCTCAATGATACAGTACAACCTCACAATGCAAACCCATTTTGCAATGAATTGCAAGATTTCCTACTTGGAGAAAAAATATTATTAATTTAATCTCTGTCAAGCCAATCTGGAATTCTACGCACATTGGATAAAATATGAAGAACTTTTAATAACTCCCATAAATTCACGTTATTGGCAGTTTTTGTTGCATTCTGTATGCATGTACAAAAGAGGAAAAGAACAGAGAGGAATCAGCACACTAGCCGACATTTAATTTTCTGGATTTTATTTTTTCAAAAGAAATCCCAAAGCCCTCCACATTTATTCAGTGTAAAGTTTACATTCAATTTTTTTTAAGTCACTTAGAATCAGTAGTTTAAAATATGTACAAGCATTCACCAAATTTTCAAAGTCTAACAGAATAGAAAACTATTCAGATTTTCCAGAAATCTGTACATACTGAAAAATAATTGGATAGGAGTATTGAAATGGTAAGGTGTTTGTTTTTTCCTTCTTTCTTTCTCTCGCTCTAGTCCCTTCTCCTTTTATTCACATTTTTTATTCCCATTGGGAAGGTTTTAATTTTTTTTTTCTTTTGTTAGCGACAGCTAATTTAATTCAGTATTTTTTTTGTTCTCCCCAGTTTGTTTCTAAATAACTCCAAAAATAGAAAGGGAAGTCATGGGGAGGAGGAAGGGTTCAGATACATAGGGAGAATAACTTTTCAAACTCAGAGGCAGATTCACTTATAATTATTGCTTAAATAGATAAGGAACACTTTGAATGTCAGGTTTAACTTGAAGGTACTTCTTTATACAAAAAGTAGTTTTTGCCAAGTGTTAAAAAAATAACTGTATAAAATTTGCATAGTCTGTATTCATATCATTTAATTACTTTCACCTGAAGAAACATGCATTGCACACACTATTTATGACCTGCCACATAAGAGAACCTAGGCGTTTTCCCTGTCATTTCTATTGAATGTAACAGCCTACAGAAAAGCAGCCTACAGTTTTTGCAAAAGCACATACTTTATATAATTTATTGCCCCAGTACATAACGACTGGCTGCCTTTTAAAATTTGATAAATGGTTCGTAACTTGCAGGTACACAAAAGAATTCCTGCTGCAAAGTAGAATGCAATTTTTCAGGAATGCTTCCTTTATGTAGTAAAAACTTCCCTTTCTTTTTTTTTAACAAACAAAAAAAACACCAACAACAAAAATTCAACTTAGGGGAAAAAGGAAGATAAAAAAGGGAAAAAAAATCAAATTGCAAGTAACTGCCTAAAAATAAATTAAAGTCTTAAAAGAATCCACGCCACACAGTGGCAAGCATTTTTAGCATGACTCAATGCTGCATTCCAAGCTCCAAATTTTCTTCAGTTCATCTTCTATGTTAACCTGCTTCCACCCAAACCTCTCCAAGCTTTCAAGTCACTACAATTTAAGAATATGTTATAACTTACTTTATTTTTGGCAAAACTTCAACTATATCAAGTCTCACTTGTCCCTTTTCAACCCTTCCACCTACTAACACCTGTAGCAAATGTACATCCACTACATTCCTCAAGTATCCAGATAACTAATGCTCACTAGCTTAAGTTTCTACCTACCAGCCCCATGTAAAGACTTACTACACTATGGCTACTGAAGAACATTTATCACTTCAGTGAGAGTAATAAAAACAGCTGGAATGCCCAACACACTAAGAAAAGTGTTCAACTTAAATCTTACAAAACTAAAATACAGATACTAACACAAGATTTTTCTTCAAGTACACAATATATCTATCACATCTACCATCTATAATCACTATCAAAACAGATTAGGGACACTAAGAGACACTATTCAAGAATCAGTATTCTTCAAAAACTCAGCATAACAGAAAAGACAAAACATTCTAAACAAGTAATTATTTGTATCACCAACAAATCTTAGTGTTCTCCTTTGTCTTCTCAATTCCCTTCATGTCAGAAGCTTCAGCTTCCCAGTCTTACCCAGGGTCTCCAGTGGTATTGTTTTGACTAGAAACAGGCAACTTATGCTGTACTATTTCAAAACTCTTGCTAGGGCTGACCCATGCCAGCTGTTGCCAAAACACAAAAAGCAAAACGAAACAGCCCAAATGTTCCTCTGTTACCTTTCTCTACCCTGCTGACAGACCAAATGAAAAAAAAACCACCAACAACAAAAAACCCAAATATGGTCTAGATCACATAACTTTTGTGTCCCTAAGATGTGGAGTTGAACATGGAAAAGCTTACACAGAAGCAATGTATACGTTAAATATATAGCTGAGAAACAGCAGTAGCTAAGGCAATTTTGTGATTCCTTTCCTTCTCCACTGCCTTTAAACAAAATTCTTACTTGTAGCCATCCCTATTTCTTCCATTTCTGGTATCACCAGCATGTCCTTGGTTCCACTGCTACCAAGCTCTCCTCTAAATGCATGAGAGCTCCTGACTAAGCCCCATGGGGTAAGATTTTTACAATAGGTACAAGACTGCAAAGCAGTGCCAAAGCCCTTCTAGTAAATAAACTTCCTATTCTTCTGTATAATATAGTACCTTTAACAGCATGTACATTCCCAGAAAAACGCAGACCATTACAAGGCTTGGATTCAACTTTCCACAATAATGTCCATTCAATCACATGCTACTGTAGCATTACTTAAGGTGTTAGATACATATTTTATAATGTATCTGTAACACAGTCAGCTAATACCACTGCAAGAACCTTAACTTTTACTTCTGTAAGTAAAAATTTTTTGTTTACGTGGAACATTATCTCGCAGGATTATTGCATAATTTTAAGATTAAAAAAATGCCGCTTCAGTCCCCTCAGAAACCTTTGTTTTATAATCAAGACTGAGGAAAGTAATAATGAACCAAAATTTTACAAAAATAAAAGGCATTAGATGTTCTAATCCATGTTTTAGAAACTGAACCCCACTATTTACTTTTGCTTTCCATACAGTTCATCATAGTAGACAGTTTCTACACCACTACAGACAGATGTGAAAACATTTCAAGGTATTCAATCAAACACTGCTCTCTGCTCACATGTGTAAAAAGCTTGAAGATCACAGTCCATCCGATTCATACTACCAGTAGTGATTATTTCTCAAATTTCCAAATCTGATTTTTATCTCCAGCACTACAAGTTCTCATTTGCACATCAGCGTGCCCCTCAGTCGTGCGATAAGCAGTAAGGCACTTCCCCGAATGAGGATGATAAATAGTCCCATCTTCTTTGAAGTGCCAGATAATAATTTCTGGGACAGGAGATCCATCTTTTGGGCAGCTCCTCATACCTATGAAGTCTTCACGCTCAGGGACTTCAGCACATAGCTCAGTTACAGAGTTAAATCTAATCTCCTGATTTGATGTATATTCAAAAAATTGGTTGCCTCCCTGACCATGACAGCCAAAGAGAGACAGGTGAGACCCGGTAGGATTATGCTCCTGTAAGACATAGTCAAGGCACTCTGAAGGTATTCCTGTGCTGCGGATAGCGCCGTGCCAGCCAGGACGATCTTCTGGTACATGCAACTCAGCAAATATGTTTTTTAAATACCAGTGAAAACTCTTGCATTTCAAACGCTCCCTAAGAATCTTTCTTTCAGAAATGTCTCCATAGTTTTCTTTCCTTGCTGAAGGATTTCTGTTGTAAAAGTGGTCTTTGAACTCATCCATCCACACCTCAGCAGCACGTGCCGTGTTCTGAAGGAAATTCGGTCTAGCATAGGGTGCACGCTTTGGAAACACGTGGCCCACATGGGAGCACGGATGAATTTCCAACATGCCTCCACACTGCCAAACCCTAAATGATAATTCTAAGTTCTCCCCTCCCCAAACATCCATTCCTGTATCATAGGTTCCCAGGTACTCAAAATACTTCTTGCTGACAGCAAACAAGCCACCAGCCATAGTTGGGGATCTGATGGGGTCGGTTTCCGACTTGCGCCTGAGACGTTCGTGTTTAGGCACCGAGTGCCACTGGAATGTCAGCCGCCAGTCAAAGCCTCCAATCATGGGCTCTGCCGTTTGCATGTAGTATTCAAATGTTTTCCAGTCAATGGTGTCAATGACAGGACAAACAATAACAGTCTCATTCTCAGCAATCCTCTCGAGCAGTGGTTCCAGCCAGCCGGAAACACATTCACAGTGACAATCTAGGAATGTGAGAACATCACCTGTAGCAAAGGTAGCGCCAATCAAGCGTGCACGAACCAATCCTTCTCGTTTGTTGGTTCTTATCAGGCGAACTCTTTTCAGACTGCTTATGTATTTTTCGAGTTCAGCCTTCAAATATATTTTATCACTCAGGTCATCCACCAGTATAATTTCTTTCAGAAGCACTGAAGGTGACGTTTCAAGAACACTATGTATCGTCCGCAGCAGTGTTGACCAGGCTTCATTGTAGAAAGCAATTATAACAGATGTTGTGGGCAGTCTTCTGTAGTTGTAAGATTTAGTTTTACAACCACTCAGTCGATTATCTTCAATGTGCCGGTGGAGAGAAATTTTATCACTTAAATAAATATTTATTGCATACTTCTCAATCAGCTCTTCTTCCTGTTTCTGCTCCTCAGGACTCAGCTGGGGGCGAAAGGGTTTACCCCATTCTCCTGGAGCATAAGGATCGGGTGGGGGTTTGTCATAAACTGGACGAGCCAAATCGACAGCTTTTTCTGCTCCGTCAGAAAAGCGCCTCTCCCATTTCCCTTTAGTGATGCTCTTGCCGGCGAGGGAGGCACCGAAGGAAGAAACGGACAGCTCGACCACAAAGTAAGCGATCATTAAGAAGCCGAGGAACACGCAGCTTTTGCGGATCCACGTCCATCTTCTCGCCAGACGAATCCTCATCTTAAATAGTTAAAAGCAGCTCCTTGGCAGAGAGGGGTCCGTGAACTCCTGCCGGCTCTCCCCACGCCCGCAGGGAGGATGGGGCTGCAGGCACTCCCAGCCTCGGGCTCGGGACGCCGGCAGAGTTTGCAGCCAGCCCTCCGTGGTGGGCCCGGTAGATTCCAAGGAGACCGCGGGGGAGAGGGGCGGCAGCGGAGGCACGGAGCAGCCCCTGCCCCTCCGGCCTCGGCGCTCCCCTCACTTACTTCCTCCTCCTCCTCCTCTCTCTCCGCGGGACAAACCCCTCCTCCAGCCTTGTGGTTTGCTCAAAAAGTTGTCGCTTAAGGAAGGGGAAGAGACTCCTTAGCCCGCCCGAAGGCGCGGGAGCCCGCCCCGCCTCCGCGCCCGGACCTGCGCCCGGAACCGCCCGGCGGCTCCGGGGAGGGAAAGAGGGAGGAGGGAGCGGGCTGCCCCGCCCGGAAAGCAAACGGCGCCCGGCCCCGCACTCACCCAGCTCCGCCGCGTTCGCGTCGAAGGCGACGCCCGTCACCGCCGCCGTGTGGCCGCGGAAAGGCCGGATCAGGACGGGGTCCTCCTGGGGAGAGGGTGCGCAGCGTCAGCCTGCGGGCGGGGGCGGCCGCGCTCGCCCTCCCCCGCCCCTCAGGGGCCGCTAACGCCCCGCGCGCGGCAGGAGCCGCAGTCCCGGCGTCCGGAGCGTTTCCACCAGCGGGGGCGGCAGCCGCGGCCGGGCAGCTCTCGGCGCCGGGTGACACCGGCCGGCCGCGGCTCGCCTGCCCACCATCCTGGCTGCCGGGGCTGGGGCCGAGCCCTTACCAGCGGGGAGGCCATGGGCGGAGCGGGGGGAGCGGCCCGTGAGAGCCCCGCGCTCCGGGCGCGGCCTGCCGAGCCCCGGATTCATGCGCCGCGCCAAGAGCGCGGAGCCCCATCCGCCCATGCGCGGGCGCGCTGCGCGGGGCGGGGCCGCACCGCGGGCGCTGTGCGCCCTTAAAGCCGCAGCGCCCCCACTTGCCCCGGCTCCGCGGGGAGGGAATGGGCAAAGTTAAACCTTCCGAGTCGGTCCGTGGTCGGGACACGGCGGCCTAGGGGTTGCGGGGGCTCTCGGAGCTCTCAGTGTGGGGCACGGTTCAGCGGAGCCACAGACATAGGTGGAACGCTCGGCTAGCGGAAGGTCTGGCCCATGTTACCTCGATTTTGTGACTTACAAATTCACGCAGGACAGTTGTGTTTAAAACCTCGGACTGATTTTGTATTAAGCTGCCTTAGGTAGTTTGGCCTCTTGTCTTCTTTTTCTTCCATTGTTTCTTATTGTGGTCGGACTTTCCAGGTTTCCAAATTGGCACTCGCATCTGTATCATACGGAGTGATGTTTTAACAGACCTTTAATGCTCTAACAAACTACACCGACCTTAAACAAAAATTAAGAAAACCGCAATGCTGCAACGTTGGTGATGGTAGTGCTGTGAATGTTTATTGCCTAGGCGAGGAAACCAACCTCGCCGGAAAAGTACCGCTCCCATAGCTCCGCTAGTAAAACCATGGTTGACAGCAATTAGCAAAAGAATGGCTGTGGTGTCAAAGCTGTCATTCGATACGCCCGTGGCCAGTGTTCCTGAAGGAGTAACTCATACTGCAATTACCCTTCCTTTCTGTTTTAAATCCAGTCTGTTACTGGCTGTTCTGACATTAAACTTTTACATTTACAGAATCAGGTCAGTAATTAGGCCAACGTATAAGAATTGTTACTTATAGGACAGTTCCAAATTAATTGTGTTTAACCATGAATTGCACATTTAAAATAATAACTTTGGAAGTGGTGAAAAAAGTAGGATTATCACAAGTATATAAGGAAGTTTCCCTGAAAATCTACTAGCAGTCCTTACATTGAGGTCATCTAGGCTGATTATTTGCCATTTTGACTTCACAATATGAACACTTTTCATAAATATAAGTGGTGGGACAAGACACATTGACTTTAACTTGGACCTAGCCAAAGCTACAGCTCTTTTGCCATTATTTGGTTTTGGTTTGGCTTATTGGTGGAGTTTTGTTTTGTTTTGGATTTTTTTTCCTTCTACACAGCTCACCCTCCCATCCTTTTGTTTTAGTCCCTATTTTTTAGATCACAAAGTAAATGTAGCATTTAAAAAAGTTAGTCATGATAAGACTTAAATGCTCTGCACTCTACCCCACTGCAGGAACAGTAAGTTAACTAGTTAAACTTAAATTGATCTCTTCACCATTATTAAAGTCTTCCAGCCTTTCTCAACTTTTTTTCCAACTATCTTCTTTCTGCCAGGTTTTTTTCAGCTGTGAGTGATGTATCTCATCAGGGAGACAGCATTTAGATTCTATCCCTCTGGGCTACTACTAAACTTTGTGTTACCTTAATTTATTCTTTGCCTTCTCATCTCCTGAATGGGAGAAAGTACCATCTCTGCTGCTTTAATTGTGTGCTGCGTGCTTTCAGTATTTCTTGTACTTTGTGTTTTCAGGTTTGGATCTGTTCTGGAAGCTGCTTAAAACCCAGTGGTCAGAAACATGTTACTTTTGTTAGAAACTGAGCTGAATGACAATTTCCAGTCCTGCTGAATCCTTTTCCATTTGCCTTCTTTAGAGCTGCTATGCTTCCAGCAGGTCAGTATATTTTACTGATTTTGGTATGCTCACAATAAACTGGAATCTCTACCTGCCCACAAAACTCCTGGACTATAAATTGCCTGGTGATAGGCATAAAGCAAAGGAATGGCTGTGATTTTGGAGAGAAGGAGGGTGGCATCTCTCTTTCTACAAATTGACAGTTGAGTGTTTCTCAAATTGTGGGGCTTACAAAGTTAATCTGTTTCTCCTCACCTGAGAGTGCTTTGAGGATTTCCAAATGCACGTAGGAAGCAAAGTATTCCTTTACTGCAGACATGTAATTAGCTAGAGTGACTGTAGTTATAAAGCTGGCAGGTAATAGTTTTTATGATGATTATGTTCCCTCATTAGTATGTATAGATTTTATTTTTAAAATTATTTAAAGATTATTGTAATCTCCTAATAACACAATTATGAGTTGGCATTGTCTTTTGAAGGTTGTGATATGCAGGAGCAATTTACTGTAATAAGTTGTTGTGCACTGTGATGACAATGATAAATGGTGCCTCAGAAAATATGTTCCAAGCATCATGTGTCAGCAGGCTGCTGTTTCAGCAGCTGTGGAGTTGTTTTTTTCTCAGGTGCTGTGTTAAGGTAGTATATGTCCAAACAAGAACTGTATCTAGAGAAGAACACTTTAGGATGGTAATTCCAGCTTGTGCTGACTGCATGGTCACTGCAGGAAAAGAATTAGTAAAAGGATGTGTAGAATTCAAGGACACGTGGACAGACATGATAACCTCGGTGCATGAATGCTGCAATGCACACATTAATTACACTAATTACATATGGTTTCATAATAATAATTGATGTAAAACAATACATGAGCATAAGGGGCAAATATGCTAGCAATATAGTAGCCCACCAAAAATTCTTTCATGTAAAATGATGCATTTTAACTTAGTGTTAATCCTACTTTAAAATAAAACTAAGACCCCCAGCTGTAATTATGTGGGCTCCTATTGGGAGCAGCTGTGTTAGCAGCAGAGCAGTCCAGGCTGCCGAGAGGCCTCAGGAGGTCATGCTCTGTCACTAGAGGGGAGTGTGAGATCTGCTTTGCCAGCGTGGTGTTATTCCACCACCACGTGGGTGTTCATCCACCTACATGCAGGAAGAGAATGTAGTTCAAGGGCACAAAGATTTAATTGCAGGCTCTCTTGCTGTTGTAGAACCATTATACCTTATGATCTTTCTTTCCATCCTCTGATCCTACATTTTTTCTCCTCCAGCAAAATAGTTATGAAAATAAATATTAAATCTATGAAATAGCTTGTGGAGTAGTGTTGGGTTTTTGCTTCTGTTGAAATTTTCTTATCAAAATCCCATTAAAGTCTTTTTGCCAATGGCAAGTAAGAGAATGGAAAAGAAAAGAATATCAAGTAGGTACATAACGATTTGAAATACAAGGATGATTTGGAATACATATGATGTTACTTTTAGTCTAAGAAACATCCTGGGGTTCTGAGGGAATTGGCAGTTGTAATGGCAGAGCCATGTCTCCATCATGTTTGAAAAGTCACTGCCATTCAGTGACTGGAGTGACAGTCACTACCTGCAATTATCTCAGGGAAGGGATTATCACACCCAGACCCTGGGAACTGCTGACCAATCAGCCTCACCTTTATGCCCAACAAGATCATGGAGCAAGTCCTGCTGGAAGTTATGTCAAAGCATATGAGGGGTGATTGCATGAAGGTGATTAGAGACAGCCGACGTGGCTTTGCCAAGAGCAAATCATGCCCAACTAATCTCATGGCTGCCTATGACAAGAGACTGCATCAGGGGACAAAGGAAAGTGATGTCACTTCTGTAAAGCCTTTAATACTGTCCCTTCCAATGCTTTTGCTTCTAAATTGATGTGGATTTGATGGATGGACTATTAGATGGCAAGGAATTGTATGACTGCAACCAAAGAGCTACCAGTGCTGAGTAGTATCCCCCCAGGGGTCTGTTTTGGGGCCTATAGTATTTAATATATTGATGACAGAGATAGTGGGATTGAATGCACCTTCAGGAAGTTAATGGGTGACACCAAGCTGAGTGGTTCAGTTGACACAGGGGAAGGGATGCCATCCAGAGGACCTTGACAGGCGTGAGGAATTGGCATGTACAAACATCATGAAGTTTAAAATTGTTCTGCACCTGGCTTGAGGCAATGCACAGTGTCAATATACACTGAGGGATGAATGCACTGAAAGCACTGGAAAAGGTACTGGGAATACCAATGGATGAGAAGCTGGACATCACCCAGCAATGTACACTTCCAGCCCAGAAAGCCAAATGCATCCTGGGCTGCATCAAAGGTAACGTGACTACTGGATTGAGAGGGGTGACTCTCCCCCTCTGCTCTGCTCTCATGAGATCCCTCCTGGAGTTCTGTCTCCAGCTCTAGGACATGGACCTGTTGTAGCAGGTCCAGAGGAGAGCCACAAAAATGCTGAGTAGTCTATTGATGCAGATAGATGTTTGAGATTTTTTCTTTTTTCAGTGTAGGGATTGTATTTGTACGGAAGGATGAGTAAGAGAATTTATCTCTTATTACTGATGCCTGAAGGGAAACACGTGTGAAAGAAAACTGCATAATTTAAGACCAGCACTTTAGAACAAATAACCATCTGGATTAGAAGTTGAGAGTGACAATTACTCTGCCAAAGACCCTAAAGTCATTAGAATTTGTATAAAAGTAAGTGTGTTATCCAGAAGTCCTTTTTTGTTTTTTCCTTAGATACTTTTGTGTATAAGATACATATCTTCATAATGACTATAGGGATTAAATCCCTTAATGTTACTCCCTTAGTACCCAAACAGCACAATAAAAACATTGACAGACTAATATGCAGCATGTGTTGAGCTGCACTTAAGTCTCTTAGTGTTACCTTAAATGCCAGACTATAACTCTTGCCCTTTATAATGTATGTGCATTATTTGAATCTCAGAAAATTTGCAGACACTAATTGGTTTTGGATAATTGAACAGGTTTTACTATGAAATTTTCTGGGATAATCTTATTATGGTGTTTTATATCAGTAGCATTGCTATGTGGATGAATACCTATATGCAATTCTAAATTTAAAGAACACCTTCCTTTTTTTTCCCCCGCATGTTTTAATGGATGATCAATACCAGTAAGGTTTCCTGTGTTGCCATTAACATGGGTGTGTCAGTAAATACATTTTTATTTCAATGCACTTTCATCCAGCTTTTCTAAAAATAAGTAAAGCAGTTTTTTTCCTAAATAGATATGTAGTTTGGTGTCTCTTTGCCATACAATACCTGAAATTGTTGTGTT